TATCTTTTGATGAAACTGTTACTTATTTTGATTCAATTGTGGTGTCTGCTAGCAATGAGGCTAAGAAGCTTTCTATGCAGTTGTTAGAGACAGAGAAGAAGTTAGATTTGAAAAACAAAAAATTAGATTGTTTAGAACTTCATATTACAAACATTATGGTTGATAGGGATAATTTGTCAAGTGAAATAAAATTGTTGTTAGCACAAAGAAATATTTACTGCAATTCAGCTAAAAGATTGTATGGGAAATTAATAGAGTTACATCATTCTTGTGAGATAAGTAAAGAACAACACAGAAAATTATTGCCTTTTTTAGCTTATGAAAGAGCTAAGGTAGATAATATTTGGTATGATTATGAGAAAGAAATAGTTGAATTTGACAAAGTTCCTAATGATAGATATAGATATGGAATAGTTAAAGTAGATGAATGTCTTGATGCTACCGAATTAGTTGAAATTGTAAATGATACTTTGACTAAGTCTGAACAAATTCACATTTTGAAAAAGACTGGAACTTCAACATTTGATTCTCAATCTAATTTTGCTGATATTGAAGATAATTCCGACAATATCAGTGAAATTAGTGATCTTGAGGATGTTGATTGTTCTCAGTTGTCTATTATTAATGTTGCATCTTCATATAAAGGGAAAGAAAAAGTTAATGATTTGTTGGTTAAGAATGATACTAATCAACCCTCAACTTCGAAAGTTTGTGATTTGGACTTTGTGGAAATCAGAGACAGTCAACCAGATGATAGTGATGATGAAGAAGATGAGAAACTTTCGAAGGAAAATATATTTTCAAAGGATGAAGAAATTCCTCGAATTGTAGTTGACCAGGTGTATGGTGATACACAAAAGTATGAAAAAATGTTGAAAGAACAAGGTGCTCATTACCTTGAAACAAATATTGTGGTGTATCCAGAATTCAAGTGTTCGTAACAACTGGAAATATTGAAAATGTCAAACCAGAATTCAAGAAATTGGTGAAACAAGACAATTTGAAAACATCATATGAAGTGTTCTTCGCAAATCAAAGCACAATTGAAAACACCCTAACGAAGAACTCATATGTTTTTCAAAGACAAAAATCTCAGAGAAAATGGGTGGAAAAATCAAAACTTGAGAAAGAAGTCATCAAACCAATTTTTGAGGAAACGAAAAGTGGGGTCAAATTAAATTCAAAAGAATTCAAAGAACAAATTGAACGATTTTCAAAAGAAAATAATGTTTCAAAAAGACAAACAAGAAAGAAATTTTTTTGGAAAACAATCGAGTCTCGAAAAACGTCAATTGAATTGTCGAAACCAGTTAAGTCTGTGAATTCAGACAATTATTTAGACAAAAAGAAAAATCCTGCTCATTCAAGCAAAAATGTGTCTGAATCAAAATCACCAAAATATATTTTCAAAGTGAAAAATTCATCTTTTTCAAAAATAGAACAAGTTTATCGTCCAAAAACTCATTCTAAGTTTGAAGTGAAAACAACACCAAAGTTTTCGAAAGCATCAAAACCTAACATTTCAAACAAGATTCCAGATAATTCATTGAATTCTAATTCACCAAAGTTTTTTTTCTCAACGTTAACATTTTAAATCAACAGTTGATACTTCCTATGCTGAATCATTTGTTTCAAAACCAAAATTTGATTTTGTTCCTCAAAAGCCAAATTTTCCTAATCATACGAAGAAACAAACATTGAAAGTTTCGCATGAAAAACGGATAACTTCACGAAAGAATATTGATCATTGGCTCGAAGGAAGAGGAAAAATTTATTAATCAAGTAAATACTTCTTCAAATGGAAGCTCGTCATCAAAGGATTCGAATATCTTGGTAAAAGCATGGAAACCTGTCACAAAAGCGAAGACCGAACAATCACAAACTCAGAATACAAAGGGTGATGTCAGTATACGTACGAAACAAACAAAACCTTATGTTTCAATCCCTATAAATGAAGATGTGGATATTATTAATAATATCAAAACTAAAGTTTGTGATTTAGTTAAAAGTTATTCTTTCAAATCTTTGTTGCCCAACTTGGACTTGGAAAATACCGCGCTGCAACCTCGGTAAGTGTTGCTCGGTGAATGTTTACCGACTTGAATGTGTTCTTTTTTCCCAATGATCTATCTGTTCAATTTTTAATTTTTTTATTATCTATAAAAAGAATCCTACATCCCTTCGCATACCACATCAAAACATTCTTATCCAATCTCTCTTAAAATGCCATCTTCATCTTCTTCATCGTCGGGTTTTTTTATGCGGTGTTCAAAACAGCCATAAAGGTCATTTAAGAGGCTGAACAAAAGATAGAAGAACTACGTCAATAAAATAACGAAAATGTTCGTCGAAGAAAAAGAAGGTACATAAAAAGAAATCGTGAAGATGCTCACTAAGTGTCTCATGCAAGATTATTTTGATGAACACACAACTTTTCAAGGATATTATTTCCTATGTGGTTCCATATGCAAAAACATTTATCTCACCGTATAGTCAACGACGTCACATAGACATGTCCATATTTCCAACAATGTGTAGATGCTAGAAGTACTACTAGTTTACCCCTTTACAAAAATGCACATTCGCACTTCGTCAACTAGCATATGTTACTTCCCCTGATACACTAGGTGAGAATCTTAGGATGTTGGGCGTATTGCACGCGAAATATTTCACAAATTTTATAAGTATGTCATGAGATTGTATGGTCCAGGATATTTGCGTAAACCTACTTGTAGTGGCATCAAACAATTAGACGCTCATCATTCAAATGTCCATGGCTTCCCTAAAATGTTAGGAAGCCTAGATTACATCCATTGGGAAAGGGACATTTGCCCGAATACATATCAAGGCTAATACACTTGAGGTGATCATGGTTATCCAACTATCATACTTGAGATGGTGGCGTTACAAGATTTGTGGATATGGAATGTATTCTTTGGTTCTGTTGGTTTCCTAAATGACAAAAATGTTCTTAACATGTCTCCGTTATTCAACGACATGTATAATAGTACTATACTAGATTCTTCGTTTGATGTGTATGGAACGTCATATATGTACGATTATTATCTTATGGACAGGATCTATCTGGAGTGTTCTTGTTTTGTGAAGTCATTGTCTTCTCCTAATGATTGAAAAATGTTAAAGTTTAAGAAAGTTCAAGATAATACAAAGAAGGATGTTGAATGAGCGTTTGGCGCTCTTAAAAAATGTTGGTATATACTGAAATACCCCACAACTTTTATTGAAGAGAAGAAAATAAGTGGGGTGATGTATACCTATATCATATTATATAATATGATTCTAGAAGATGAAGGAAATACAATATTTGAATATAATGAAACGAGATCGTTCCACTGATACAAACATTTGATATTGAAAGCAATAAATACTTGGCAAGAAGAAGAATAATTCATGATGTTGAGATTCATCAAAATCTTTATAGAGACTAGACGAAACATATTTGGATCGTTGAGCACATAGATCTTAATGTTGAATTAGTCGATGATTTAAAAGACCAATTTTCCAATAAAGATGGCCTTTAAGTTTAACTATAGTTTGTATTTTTAAATTCTATGTTGTTTTTTAGGTTTGTTGTAACGTCCTTTCATGTTTAATTAAATTTTAGTTTTTATAAAGAAATTTGTTTAAATTTATTATTTTTAATATAAATTAAATTTGGAAAAAATAAATAGCATGGAAAAAATGACAACACACGCCCTCTAAATGAAAAACTTTTGTAACAGAATGATGAATCCTCGTGATGTCTACATGTACCATGGCAAGTGTGACATTACTTTTTCTAGGCTTAGAGCATTTTTCAATGAACACTTATTTTATAATTTTTTTACTATTTGATTGATTAGTTATTATCACTTGCCATTAGAATGTATATCTTTTTGTGTATTTTGATATACTACAATATTGTATATTACAAATCATAGTAAATTTTAATACAAACTAGTTACATGTCTCGTGTTACTATTGAGTAAAGTATTGTATTGTATTATATTTAATTATTTAAATATTAATGTTTAGTGATAATATTTATTTAAATAATAAGCATTTATCGACAATATTTATTAAAATATTTTCTATTAAAATATGACGTGGTTAAAAAATGTTTAGTCAAAAGAGGAGGATTTTATAAAACATTTTAGATAGACAAAAATAAATTAGTTAAATTAATAATAATAAAATCATAAAAGAGAATAACCATTGGATAAATTATTTAATTTGAGGTCTATATTAATAAAAATATAATGTGATAATATTTTTGGCTTATATTATAGGATTACCATTAAAAATTCTCTTATAAAATATTTATTGTAATAAGCTTAAAAATAAATCAGTTGTTAAATATAATATTTAAATATCTAATATACATTTGAAATGTGTTAATGTGAGTTTGTATAACATAACAAATTTAATATAAGTTAATGAACAGTTACATTTTATAATTGCTGAATTTTAATAAGAAAAATACAAAACAAAAATATATTCTCTAATTAGTATAATATTAAATATATTTGTTTGAATTAGAAACAAGGTAATTAATTTGCACCTCCTCCAAGGCTATGTCGAACAAGCATCATGTGTAATCAAGTAATTCAAAAACGTGAAACACCAACTATATTTATTTTTAAAAGATTTGAAATTTAAACCTTAGTTATGGATTATTAAACTTTCAAAAAAAAAAAAACTCTATTTTTTTAATTTGTGGTCTTAATCGTAATAAAAAAAATATAAGTCTCCACAATCATTTGTTTATGTTTTAAATTTTTAATTTTAAGGTTGGATATATCATCATAAATATAATTTTATTTTATTACTTCCACAATTTCTTTTAGATTCGTACTTACCAAAATACTATTGTCACTTAACCTCATCATAACTAAATCAATATCATCATTCAAATTGATACCATATACAATTCGATTAATCTTTCAAGTGTCATCAATGATTAATATGTTAATTGTTATCATTCCAAGAATCACAAAATCCATAACAATGGCATAAACTATGCTTATGCGAATATAAACATCCAACTCCTTCATACTTTTACACATAAGATTCATTTTGCACAAAAGAAAGAAACATAACTTGTGGAATGAAACTAACATCCACTCTAACTTTAGGGGCCATAAGTAAACAACTTTCTTTCTCTTATATCATCAATCTACAATAGGAGAGAGAAGTAGGAGAGGTTAAAATCTCTCTCTCTCTCTCTTACACTTACCCACTGAAACCAACAAAACAAAGGTACTCTTTAGGTGCTTTATAATTATTACTCTTGTAATCAAGCTCCTTGATAGAAGCAGAAGCAGCAGCAACTACAAAGCAAATTGATTATTCTGCTACTGATGCAAACCTTTCATCACTTTATATAGCAAATAATCAGGAGAAAGAGAGTCGTTTTTTTTTTCTTTAACTTCGCTTCCCTTCAAGTTTCATGATCAGTTTCAGTAACCTCTTCACCTTTATCACTCATCATCAATATCGTCATCTCTAACAGAAGAAGAAAAGAGTATACCTTTTTTTTTTGATATGGGGTAAGATTAACTAACGCCTGCTTTTATCTACTTCGAACAAGCGTTTTCTTTTCATTTCAGGGAATATAAAAGTTCTAGAGAGAGAAAGTGATGATAGAGAGAGAGAGAGAGAGAGAGAGAGAGAAAGAGGGGGAAAAACCGAAAAAGCTTTGCAATGGTTTCTTAGCTTTTTTGTTGATCGACTTTTTTTTTTCTATTTTTCTAGTGTTGTTTTACATGTTTCTTTTTGATGATTTTTTTTTTCAACACAACAGTGTGGTTACTAATTACTTTGAACAAATGGAAAAGAAACCTACTTTTTCACGGGTTTTATATATTTTATTTTTTTTTAAAAATTGACAATTTTTTTTGTGGGTTTCTTGAGTTGAAAGAGAAAATGCAAGCTTTCGTTGATGGGGTTTGCTAAATTGAAGTTGCTTTATTGTTGGATTTTTCAAATTAAGATAAAAAACGGAAGCTTTCTCTAATGGGGTTTTCTAAATTTAGGTTTCTTTTTTTGTTTTCAAGTGGAAGGTAGAATGCAAGCATCCATGGAGTTTGTTCAGATTTTAACTTTGTTCTTGGATTTTTCTTTGCTTCCTCTTCAGGAGCACATCAAGAAGAAGCAATTAAAAGAGCTCCAGCTACTTTTTTAGCTATGTTGTCTTGATCTAACACTCAAAAATCTTTGTAAGATTTGTGGGTTGTTGCAGAAACACAAGAAATCAGTTCGAGTGAAAATCAAGAAATGGATTCATATGAAGCAACAAGAGTTGTGTTCACGAGGATCCAAAATTTGGATCCTGAATACGCTTCAAAAATCATGGGTCTTCTCCTAATTCAAGATCATGGCGAAAAAGAGATGATTCGATTAGCTTTTGGGCCTGAATCGTTAGTTCACTCTGTGATTATGAAAGCTCGTAAGGAACTTGGCATTCCGTCGAGCAACGCGCCGTCGACACCTTCTTCTCCGGCGTCGCCGTCGCCGTTCAGTTCTTCCCACAGTCTCTCCCGGCAAAACTCGGGGAATTCTTCGACTGCTTCAAGGCTTGTTAATGGCGGAGTTACTAATCTCCCGTCGCCTCTCAGTATCCCGAGCTTGTCATCTTCGTGGACGAACTCTAATTTCTCTGATTTTCAACCCGGTGAAGACCACCATCTGAATTCCTCAGCCCCGCCGTTTTACGGCGGAAGTAGTGAGCCTGATCTGATTGATGAATTACAAATCCAAGACCAGCTTTCTTTTCTCAACGATAGTTCTCCCACTCTCGGCCCTAAACCCACCGATTTTTTCTACCCGGATTTGATGTCCCCTAACGGCAGCGGTGACATGTACTCACCATGGAGCGGCGGCGGCGGAGGAGGTGGCGGCGGCGGTGGTGGTGGTGGTCCACACCGCCGGAGCTCATCTGCTAACGATATTTTATTCGGTGGAGGTGGTGAAGACCCTAACGGTTGGAAACCATGTCTTTACTTCGCTAGAGGCTACTGTAAAAACGGAGCTAGTTGCAGGTTCACTCACACCGCCGGCGGCGAAGCTGATATCGCTGCCATGACAGTTGGCTCCTTGAGCAAACTCGATGTCATGGAACAGTGCCAAGAGCTTCTCCGATCTAAATCCACCCACCAACAACGGTTGCTCATGGCTGCCGCCGGTTCTTCTCCGAACTTCCCCTTCCCAAACAGCCCGAAATCCATGAACTTTCTCCTCCAGCAGCAACCTCTCCAATCAGATAGCCCCAGGTAAAAACAAAACAAAACCACTAACTTCATCACCGAATCACAATTACTAAACTTCATTACTTTCTGTTTCTAGGATCGCCGCCGCCGCCGCCGCCGCCGCGGCATTAATGATGGGGGAGGAGATGAACAAATTCGGCCGGTCAAGGCTCGACCGGAGCGATTTCTCCATGGGTATGCTGAATCCCGGTTCACGGCAAATCTACTTAACTTTTCCGGCGGATAGTACTTTCAGAGAAGAAGACGTTTCCAATTACTTCAGGTTCGATTTCAATCTCTTCCATCGTTAAATCACATAAAAAAAAAATCTTTCTTTAATCTTGTTTCTTCTCTTTCGTAGCATGTATGGACCAGTTCAAGATGTTCGGATCCCATATCAACAAAAACGAATGTTCGGATTCGTCACATTTGTTTACGCAGAAACTGTGAAACTCATACTCGCGAAAGGAAACCCACATTTCGTATGCGACGCTAGGGTTCTTGTAAAACCCTACAAAGAAAAGGGTAAAGTTCCCGATAAGTTCAGAAAGCAACAGCAACAACAAATCGATCGAAGCGAGTTTTCCCCAACTGGGTTTGATTCACGCGACCCTTTCGATCTTCAGATAGGTAAGCTCGTTCAACAATCTGTATCTTCGTCTTCAATTACGTTAAATCCATTCCTCAATTTTGAATTTTTGTTTGAATCAGGAGCGAGAATGTTGTACAACAGTCAAGATCTGCTATGGCGGAAAAAGCTTGAAGAACAGGCGGATCTGCAACATGCAATCGAGCTTCAAAACAGGAGAATCATGGATCTGCAACTTCTTGACGTTAAACGGAGCCACCACCATCACCACCGTGCACTGTCCACCGGCGCCGCCATTCCTTCACCCACCTGTTACTCTCCGAGCTACCTGAATCACTCGCCGGTTTTTGCTTCTGATACCCGCAGCAGTTCCAGTCCAGATTCCGGTAAACATAAATAAAAAAAAAAAATCGGATTTGATCCTTTTTGAAAATAGAAATAATTTGTTGCTAATTTTATCGATTTGTGTTTGTTTTGATTCAGAGGATGGTTTGATGTCTAAAATGGTTACACCTGTAACTATCAATGTCGATGAGACATTAGAGGTAAATTTAAACCTGGAGAAAGAGAAGGAATCTTTGGAGATTAATAAAAAAGATGAAAATAGTAATGGAAAATCAAGCCCTCATCATGAAGAAGATATTGATTTGCCTGAAAGGTATAAAAATAGTTGTAATAATACCATTTTCAGAAACACAATGATTTTTACTTGAATTAGAATTGTTTCTAAATCTTGCATTTTGCAGTTTGGAGCATAATCTCCCAGATAACCTTTTTGCATCACCCAAAGCATCCGGTAATCACCGAACTGTCTTCTCGAACGATAACGAGATCTCCAGCAAGAATATTCCGGCGGTTTCTTCCCCGCCGGAAAAGTTTTCCGGCAACAACTTGATCACCTCACCATTGCTTCCGGCAACTTCGACTTTGGACTTAGCTTCTTTGAAATCATGTTACTTTCAGTTTCCGAGGTACTTGTTTCATTTCCATTTGTTTTTCTACTAAATTAACTGCAACTGTAGTCACGGAGTTTTAATTCCAATATTCAATATTCAATATTGGAATTAAAACTCCCTGACAACATTAGAATCTCTGAGTTTCAATTCCAACATGGATTAGACTATTTGTTGGTATTGAAACTCCTAGACCGACAAAGCTAGACTCTTTGTCAATATTGTCGGTGCAGGAGTTTCAATTCCAACGTGGATTAGACTCTTTGTCGGTGGAAACTCTTAGACCGACAATGCTGACGAAGAGTCTAATCCACATTGGAATTGAAACTCGTACCCGAGTTTCAATTCCAATGTGGATTAAGGTCGAGCTGAAATGTTATTGGACGATTATTTTTTATTTTATTTTTTTTGCAAAAAATATAACGATATTGGCCTTGGTGGTACAGGTTTTCTTCAGGTCACGGTGCGATTGGAATGTAGTCTTAAATTTACGGTCTTTTAGCTTCCTTAGTGTAGGTAAAAAATCATTTAAACTCGCATTGCAATTGATTTCAATTCTTTTCTAGTGTTTATTAATTTGTTAATGGTTGTGGTTTTTTTGTTTGTTTTACAGGAAGAAGATGAATATATGTAAACAAGAAAGGAAATACCCAGATGAGATCTTTAGTAAAATCATCTCCACCAATAACCACCACCTCCACCTTCTGCCGCCACCACCATCACCACCACCAATACTACTTACTACCATACAAAAATTATATAGGTAAAAAGAATGATGTAAAGGGTGTCTGGATCCTGCCTCCACCTCACCTTCTTGTTGTAACCTTTTATCATTCTAGTTGAATTAAAATTAAAAGATTAAAAGACACCATTTAAAGGAGCATGTGATAGAGTCAAGAAAAGAAAAGAAAAAAAGAAAAAGTCAAAATGTATGTAGCAGTGATTCCAGGGGTGGAAAATTACAGTCGTACCCCTGGGGTGTAGTGTGTTTATGTTAGAAGAGAAGAGAAGAGAAGAAGAGCGTTTGATGTGGACTGTACAGCTGCTGAGGAAGCAAGGGGCAAATTTGTAAAAGCAAGTGGTGTGGGGGAGGGGGTGGGTGAGGTAGATGAGTGAGTTTAGTGTTAAAAAGAAGTAGAAAAGAAATGGTTGGCTTTATACCATAACTAGTTAATGTTATTATGTATGTATGTATACAACATCATGATCATGATCAGGCTATGAATAGACATGACAATCAAGAAATGACAAACAAAGAAACGGCTTTTATTTTATTTTATTTTATTTTATTTTGTTGTTGTTGTTGTTTTTTTTTTTTTTTAATATTAAATCTTGTTTGGAGCATCTTTTTTGCTTGTACTTTAGTTCTAGTTTATCTATTTTCTAAGTGGAATGGTCAAATCCAGGCTAATATATGAATACTAACGTTATGTTCCAATTTTTAGTTTTATATTTTAATATTTTATATGTATTAAACAAATATTTGTATTAGAGATAATTAAATAACTTCTATCTAGAATCATTCAATAGTCATCCCTAAATCGGTTGAAACAATGAGTCTAAATGAATCAAAAGCCTCTTAAAGATTTAAAAAAGTGACTATTTTTTTTAAGGGATAATGATTTAAAAAGATAATATATTTTTTGATTTGTATACATTTGCTCACTAAGTTTATTTTTTGTTCACATTTACCCTTTCAACTTGTTAAACTGTACATATTCAGTCCTTATGATCGGTTATTACAGGTTAACTGATAAAAATGTCTTAATAGGATAATATATTTCTTATTTTGTACACATTTAGTCCTTAATATTTTTGTATACATTTAGTCCTTAATTTTTTTTGTTGCAAAATAATTTATTTTGGTTTTGTACTTATTCAATATTTATGAATGTTTTCTTTAAATTTTTCTCACATCTTACATGGAACAATTATTAACGAGATGTTTTAGTTTTTTGATGCTTATGTCCATCGCGATCTCGATTATTTGGTTGCTTAGGTCATGTGTTTTGAACGTCATAACTTTTTCATACTATCTCGTATTTTAACGATCTTTTTATCTGTGCGTTTGTATTTTAGTCTACTATAACATCCGTTTATATTATTCCCATTAAAAAATAATATATTTTTTAATTACGATCTTTATATCCATACATTTTTATGAATGCATGTATAGATGTTTTTTTTATAAAATCTTAAGTAAAAACATATTTTATTTTAATGAGAGTAATCTTAACGAAAGTGATAGCAAACTTAAAAAACAAACATGTAGATATAAAGATCGTTAAAATCATATATCATATGAAGAAGTTACGATGTTCGAAATACAAAACCTAAGTCAAACCACAAGACATATGCAACCATGCAGTCGAGGCTGCGATGGACATAAGCATTAACAACCGCAAAAACATCATCAATCAGGGACAGACGCAAAATTTGGTAGTAGGTATTACCAGTCAGTAGTAGGTGTTGTCGGTAAGTAGAAAAAAGAAAAAAAATCGAAAAATATTGAAAAATTTATACTGCGTACAGAAAAAGCAGGGGTTGTCGGTGCCACTATGGGCACCCAAAGAGAACCGTCTCTGTTATCAATGATAGTCTCATGTTAGGTGTTGTGAGAAAAACCCTAAATAAATCATTCATAAGTACTGAATTGATACAGAAAAAAGAGACTTATTTTGAAACAAAAAAAGTATTAAGGACTAAATGTGTACAAAAATATTAGGGACTAAATGTGTACAAAAATATTAGGGACTAAATGTGTACAAAATGAGAAATAAATTACCTTAATAAGTCATTTTCCCCCGCTAACCTAGAATAACCGGTCATAAGGACTGGATGTGCACAGTTTAACAAGTTGAAGGGGTAAATGTAAACGAAAAAAAAACTCAGTGACCAAATGTGTAAAAATCGAAAAATATATTACCCTTTTAACTCATTATCCCTTTTTTTAACCATTAAAGCTGCCTTTGGCGTCTAGAGATTTAACTTATTTATTTTTTCAACTATTTTATAGTTATATTTGGTAAGTTTTTGTTTATTTTTTCAGTTTTTTATTGTTATATTTGGTAAGCCAAAATGTTAGTTTATATATTAACTTTTAAATTTTTTTTTAAACAACAAATAATTCTATTTAGAGTAGCTTTTAAAAGACTTTTTATACAAACTTTTCAAATATACCATTAACTGATTATAAAAAAAAATTAAAATATCATTTTATGCAATTTAATATATTTTGGTAAGTTTTTCAATTAGTTTTTACCAAATATTTTTTTTATCAATTAGTTATAAGAACTTTTTTTTTTTGAGAAAGCCTTTTTATAATTTAATATCTTTCAACTAATTTATTAGTTAGTTTTTTTAACAAATATTTTTTATTAGTAATCAACTAACTTTTTAACAATCAGCTAACTTTTTAACTATTAGCTAGTTTTTTGATTAATCAGAACCTCCAAAAGTAATCTTAAACTTTATTTATAGATTAATTCTATTTTCGATATCAAATATAATTGATGTTCCATCCAAACTAGCCTTATCTTCTATACGAAAAATATAATTATATATAATATTAATTCAAACGAGAGCTGCACAATAGGGTCAAGTTCACCACTCTGAGATTATCCGGCCTGTGTCCCATGTGACTTAGCATATTCACTTAGTAGTTAACTTACATCATTAATAGTCCTGTAAAGCACAAAGCAAACAACATACAGATAATTGAAAATCTAACCATCATAATCCAATCAAACCATTCTATCCTCTAATCAGGAATCTGTACATGCAATTCAAAGGCTCATACATTTAGGCATAACCTAAACATATTATCCTATCACTGACTGATCAGTACTAAAATGCAACTCATCAAGCACATATAGCAGGCATATAAGGCATCTTCCTATATCCTTAGCCCTAATTTGGCATGTAGTTCTCATACACATATAGTAGGCATATAAGACATCATTCCTAGATCATTAGCCATAATCTAACATGCAGTTCTCATAAACATAACATATCATAACATAACATGTATGGGTATCTTAGGGAAAACTTACTTGAGCTCCGCTAATTGCACGCATCACACACCTTGTTCTTTTCAAAGTCCTTTTCTCTTTTCAAATTCTTTTCAAACTTCTTTTTATAAAATGATTTTAATTTTGAAAATTTTCATACTAAGTCCTTACTTTTAGTCCAGACACACCAGAGAGTGTGCCCGATTCCCTCAAACCAAGGCTCTGATACCAAATTGTAACATCCCAAAATTCAAGACCAAAAATTTCATTTTTAGTTTAATAATTCATAAAACCAATAGTATAGAAACAAACATAAAACATCCCATGTCAAAACCAAAGTGTCAATAATCAAAACATGTTATGCTAAAACAATATCAGAGTGCAATCCCAAAGATATCATGTGCGGAAAACATAGTGTGATGCGCTGCGATCGGTCACACCCCCAAACCAAGGATGATGGAAACGTCTGGGGGTGGAGGACTTCATGTATAGTATCCCAACAACGAGTATAATAGTGCTCAATATAAATACAAACATTATAAATATAATCGAGAATGATTTCACAAGTTACATGTTTCAAAATCGATAACAATATAATGACAAAATGTTTTGATTAATGTTGAAGCATTCCATCCTCAAAAGCTGGTAGTCACCAATTTCTATTGATTACCTGGGAATACAAGTAAATTTTGAAAGAGTGTCAACAATTAAGTTGGTGAGTGCACAAGCTTTTATATATATAGAGTAGAAATCCTTTCTTTGAAAATGTTAAGTATGCACAAGAAAAATCCCATATTTTTTCTTATAAAATGGTTTGTAGCCTTAATACCCAAAGACTAAAATGTACAAGTATTTTACCATACTTATAGTAGTGTATGCAATTTTATAAAATAAAACCCCTTTATTTAAAGGTGGAAATTCCCGTAAACTATATGTGTCGTTATCTCCCTATGTGAGTCATTATAACCATACTATGACATAGTAGACCTATTGTGACGTTCTTTAGGTGTCGGAAATTGTTATGACATTTGCCACCCCCCGACCAGCCAGTCGGGCTGTTGCAAGCAACTTGGGTGTGAGTTGTCAATCTCAATATAGATCTATATACAACTATCACGCTCTCCCTACAAGAGACTCTGGTAATAACTTTCAGGAATTTTAACCCGTATTCTAAGAGTACAATGAAGCAGTGTCTCACAATTTACGTTAACAAGTTTACGTGTAGAGTGAATGAAAAACCTATTCTGTAGTGAAATTGAACCCCTTTTAGTAGTGTATTTGTAGTGGAAGGAACCATAAACTATACCTATTATAGTTTATCATGAACGTGTGTAGTAATGAAAAACCCGTTTGCAGTGTAGTTTGATCCTTTTCATAGTGAATGGTAATATAACAAATCAAAAACTATACATGGTATAGTTCATCTTGTATGTTTGTAGTGACTAATAACCCATATAATGAATGAATATTTTTGTTATTTAGGTGTAACTTAACAGAAACCATAAGTAAATATATGGTCATCTTAGATAAACACTTTGCTCAACGCATTACAAAGTGTTAATCAATTTGTAAACTGTTTGTAACATGTTTTAATTTTCTGTCACTGTTTTGTAAAAATCACAGAAAAATCATCGTGAGTCGAAATCTATATCCGTAAAGTTTGAAAGTTCATAAAATCTGTCTAGTGTACCCACAGTTTTTATTATCATTTTTAATGATCCTTAACTTGGGTCACAATGACCATTTTCACTGACTAGTCCGAAATCTTTGCTATAGTGATAGGCAGTTTTGTAAAATTCACCATAAATTGTATAAAAATCATATAAGCATGTGCAAGTAGTCATTTTAAAGGTATGAACCTTAACTATCTGTATATTGATCAGTTTTGGAAAGTCATGGTGTTTAAGGTGGTCAAAACAGATCGTGATTGAGCCATAACTTTTCTGTTGAAAGCTATCATTTGAGTTTAAGCATGTTTTTGATGTTGTAACTTGTATTCTCCCCCATAAAACTAGATAAAACATGAAAACAAGGGGATATGAACTCACCTTGAGTGATTCCTTGAGATGGATGTTGAAGAGAGGGGGTTTCCAAGTCAAGAACACTTGGAGAATGCTTAAGGATTTGAAAATCTAAGAACAAATATGATGATATTTGCATAAGAAATCCATGATTTGAGTGTATGAGTGATGAATATTCACGAGTGAAAATGAAGAATTTACCAACAATGGAGGAAGAGCTCGTGACTTCCTGGAGTTCTTGGTTCCAGGGAGGAAAAATGAGAAGG